GAATACCAACTTCCCAAAGACGCCCAAGTCCTGAGAAGCTGTGAATATATTCTTTTTATGGCACAGAGGACTTTACAGATATGATTTAGTTAAGGAGCTTGAGATGGGGACATTATACTGGGTTATTCCACAGAAGCCCATAATATAATCACAGAGGTCCTTGTAAGAGGGAGGCAGGAGGCCAGAGAAGAGAAAAGATGCTATGCTGGTGGCTGTGAAGATGGAGGAAGGGGCCATAAGCCAAACAATGCACGCAATCTCCAGACACTGGAAAAGTCAGGCAAACAGATTGTGTCTTAGAGTCTCAGAGGAAACTCCAGCTGCAGACCCATTTTAGACTCATGAGCTCCAGAGCTATGACATGATCAATGTGTGTTCTTTTAAGCTGTTATGTTTGCAGTAATTTGTTACAGCAGCCATAGGAAAGTTAAGTGCTGCCAAGTACTGTATCAGTCCATTAATGTGTAATTTTAATGGACTCTTCATTTGGGGCACTTTTAATTAATTTGGGGGATGTAGGTAGTAAATGGAGGAGTGTTGGCTGATGAGACAAAGTAGAAGAAGCTGTTATGAGGAAAGGAGATTTCCCCCAAGAGGCTTCTGGCTCAGAGTGGCAATTTTTCTGGAGGGTCTTATAAAAATAATAAATGAGGATGAAAGTAGAGTTAAATTGAGCGGTCGGTAAACAGAAAATAACCTCCATGCCGTCCTCTGCATAAAAAAACACATATGGCTTTATCACTGGGCCAAAAACTGAGCACACACAGTCTTTCTCTCACACACACACCCACCACCACCACCACCACCACCGGTTTTCCTCTAAAGAAAGTGAAAAAGGAGTCAAGGAAGAACAGGGGCAGCTTGTACAGGTGTTGCTGCTTTACAGCAGCGGCTGGCCCACTGCAGCCAGCTGGCCCAATACAGCCTGCCCTCTGTTGTTTTAAGACCTGCAAGCTAAGAATGGTTTCTATGTTTTTGAAAACTTGGAAGGAAATAAAATTAATATTTTGCGACATGTGCAAATTTTATGGCATTCACGTGTCAGTGCGCACAAGCAGAGTTGGATGGAACATAACCACACCTGTGTGTTTGCGTACTATCTGTGGATGTTAGCATAGCAGCAGTTGTGTTGTCTAGCAGAGCTGTGTGCAGCGTGCTCGTGGCTCTTCACAGCTCTCGGCACACTTCAGCAGACACTCCTGCGCTTTTAACTCAACAGCAATTTAAGTGCCATGTATCGATGCACTGTGTTGTTGTTGTTATTGTGTGCGTGTGTGTGTTTTACTTGAGAGAGAGAGAGAGAAGTAGCAGGGGAAGGTGGGGCGGGGGGGAGGAGAGTGCGTGAGCGAGCAAGAGCAAGAATCCCAAGCAGACCCCATGCTTGCCAGCAGAGCCCGATGCAGGGCTTGATCCCACTAACTGTGAGATCATGACCTGAACCAAGATCAAGAGTCGGACGCTTAAATAAATAGCCCTTGAGGCGTCCCATCGATGTACTGTGTTCTTTTAATCTTTGTTTTTTTAAATTTTTTTTTAATGTGTTTTATTTATTTCTAGGAGAGAGAGACAGACAGCATGAGCAGGGGAGGGTCAGAGAGAGAGGGAGTGACAGACTGAAACAGGCTCCAGGCTCTGAGCTGGCAGTCAGCACAGAGCCCGACACAGGGCTCGAACCCACGAACCGTGAAATCATGACTCAAGCGAAAGTCGGACACTTAACCGACTAAGCCACCCAGGCGCCCCTGTGTTCTTTTAATCTTTACAAAAAAAAAAAAAATTACCAATGCAAACCTATCATGTTTAAACAAAAAAAGTGGACTTCAAATGTTGTGCCCTTAAGGCAGTATAGAGAATGGGATTATCTTGTCACTCAGTTAGATGACATAGTACAACTAGAGTTGTGCTGAAAGAGTACAATATGTCAACACTGCATGATGAAGCACTCGCTTATCATGCTGTTCCTAACTCATAGGAAAAAAATGATCAGAAAAATGAGACAATTTAAAGCAAAATATCACAGCAGATTTATTTACAAATTTGAAAAAGCAGAATGAGGCTGCGGTCAAAGTAAGTTTTTTAAGTGGCTCATCTGTTACCAAAGAAGAGAAAACTGTTTACCAATGGTGCTTTAAGGGAGCCACATTTCATTGCAGCAGAGGAAATGTGTCGTGAAAAAATTTGTGTTGCACTATTAGCCTTCAGATGAGAACAGCTGTCTGGGACTTTAGCAGAAACATCCATTATCAATTGAAGAACAAGGCAAATTGATTCCCAGTTATTGAAACTGACCATGTATTGCTATTTATTAAAGAATCATGGCCAAGTTTGAGGCTGAAGAACATGACGACATCGCTTAGGTATTTATGTTGTGTGCACAGAATTTTGTTGTGGAATTTGGGATTTTTTTGCCCAAATAAATATTATAAATTTAAAAGAAAAAAGAGTGATCTGCACAGAACAGGCAAGGATGCTTTCAAAGAACTTGAGAACTTAGTAATTCAGTAAGACTTGAATTGGAATCTGCTGTTTTGTAGAACAATTGACAGTGATAAAAATATGTGCAGAGGAGACAGAGCTTAGCTGGACGGATGTACAAAGCTTATGAAAATGCAGGCTGTTTCAAGCTTGTGATTGTCAATTATAGTACTGATTGGCAGGTACTTTGTGGAAAATAATTGAATCCATCATGTGGTAATGAACCAGTAATATCAACCATGAACTTCTTTGGCTCTCACAGCCTTAACCATTATTATCATGTCTTTGAATTTTTATAAGAAACAGGTGGTGAGTATCCGAACTACCGTATTACCTAGTGGTTAGATAGGCTGGCAGCACTGAAGGTTTACTGTGGGTGGAATTTTACAGGGTTACTGAACAATGAATGCCTTTGGACATTAGCTTTTGCCAACTTGATACTGAATTAGCAAAGTGCTATTATTTATTATATAGTATGTTATACTGTAATAATTTAGAAATAGAGTTGAAATTCTAATGATTGGATTAGCTTCTGATCATTGGATGCTTGGTGCCTTTTCTTAGTGAATTCAGTCTGAAATTGCAAGGCCAAACTTTAGCACTTCTATAAGAAACTTGTACTGTAGTGAAGTTTTTTAGACAGTTAATATTTGGATCACAGGTAAAGTCAGGGTACATTCTAGACTTCCTTACTAAAATTTTACTTTAAAAATTTCACTTAATAAAAAATTAAGTAAAAATTAAAATTTTTTACTTAATAAAAAATTAAGACATTATGAAATGAGTAAGTCATAGGGATGAAAGGTACAACGTAGGGAATGTAGTTAGGAGCATTCTAGTAGTTTGTATGGTGATAGATGGTAGCTTGTGGTGAGCATAGCACAACAGAGAGAATCGTGGGTTCACGGTGTTGTGCACCTGTGACTGATGTAACATTGTGTATCAACTCTACTTCGATTTTTTAAAAAAAAGTTAAAATAAGATGTTAGATATACGTTCCCACGCAGATGTGCTACATACACATTTTCTAAGCTCACACTTTAGTTCTAGTAGTCCCCTTCCCTATTCCACCTCTTATTGTGGATTTATACTTTTTTTTTTATAATTTAATGTTTATTCTGAGAGAGAGAGAGTGCACAGGGGAGGGACAGAGAGAGAGAATCCCAAGCAGGCTCCATGCTGTCAGCGCAGAGCCCACATGGGGCTCCGTCACACAGACTGTGAGATCATGACCTCAGATGAAATCAAGAGTCAGACGCATAACCGACTGAGCCACCTGGGCGCCCTTATACTTCTTTATAAAAGTTACCGTACTTTGACAAAATTGGGTCTGTGGAGAGAAGAAGACAAACACGCTTGCTCTCTTGAACCAGTAGTCAGAGAATCATAAATCCACATGGACTTTTCTCATGTTATGTTTAGAGCTGATTTTAGTTTTTTTTTTTAACTTTTTAAAAATGTTTTTTATTTATTTCTGAGAGAGAAAGAGACAGCATGAGCAGGAGAGGGTCAGAGAGACGGAGACACAGAATCTGAAACAGGCTGCAGGCTCTGAGCTGCCTGTCAGCACAGAGCTGGACGCGGGTCTCAAACCCATGAAGCGTGAGACCATGACCTGAGCCGAAGTCAAGACGTTCAACTGACTGAGCCACCCAGGCACCTCTGTTTTAGAGCTAGTTTTATCTTGCTACCAACCTTAAACACTTCTCCCCAAAACAGTGTCATTCATTCATTCACTGAGTGGCCTCAGCGATGAGGGCCATCATCTCCGGGAGCACAGAATCTGGTCGTGGAGAAAGAAACAAATAATTACACTGCAGTGTCCTAACTACGGTAGTAAAGCGGGGCACGGGTGCCCTGGGCAAGGTAGAGGAGAGGATAGCTGTTTTCATAGGAGAAGCACAGGAAGACTTCACAAAACAGACAGCATTTGAACTGGATCTTAGAAGTTAAAGCCCCGAGTTCACTAGGTGGAGAAAAGGCATGGTAGGCAGCAGGAACAGCATGCCCGGGCAGGGAAGGGCGAGCCATCACAGAATGTGGTTGTGTGTCTATACGTGGTGGGGGGAGTGGCAGTAAGGAAGCTGAGAAGGAAAACTACGGCCAGATCATGAAGGGCGGTACGCAGTGTGTCCTGAAAATCTGGTTTGGGATGCAAATCTCTATTGCAGTGGAGTTGGCTCATAAATTCAAGCGAGAGCATTTTTTGTCAGGTAATTTACTGTTCCTGATAAATCAGCCTATCCGACATAAACATTTCCAACTACTTTTTACATTTCCTCCTTACTCGGTGTGTTTGCAACGTAGAAGCCGCGTTAAAGCACTAGTGCAGAGTGAAGTAAGACTGAAAACGCACTTAAGTTTGAGACTTTAGAAGTTTTCATGGGAGGAAAAGACTTTTCAGAGGTATTGAAATGATCTAAAAGGACAGATCATACTTGATTTTCTCTCTGACTTTTAACTATTTTTGCAGATTGCCTATTCAATTGGTTATTTTCTGAAACTTAATTTTCTTTGTTTTTTAGTGGACAGAAGATTGCAGAAAATCAACCTATCCTCCTTCTGGACCAACGTGAGTAAATATCAAATAGTCAGAATAGACTGACCTTTAGGGAGATTTTTTCCCCTGTGTAATAATGATCTCATAAAAATGACTTAAGTAATGAACAAAAAATTAAGTGATGTCTTCTATCCTGAGACCATTTTTTTCCCCCTGAGACTAATTTTTTTTTCAGTTTTGTGTATTATGTATTTGGTTACTACCCTGGACAAAAAGAAAAATACCCCATGATTAAAATGTCCATTTCTAGCCTATCAAAAAAAAGAAAAAAAAAAGAATCTCCATTCTCCAGGAAATCTTGTCTACCACTAAGCACTTTTTTTCATCCTCACAAGTGCAGAACTAACTGAGTTTCTGTGGTACCTCAATATGAACCACTGGATTTTGGGAAAAGTGTAGAGCCTTATGTGTGAAACCTTCAAGAAATAAATCCTGGCACAATCATCAAAGCTGTCAAAGACAACACACGATTCAGAAACATAAGGGAAGGAAAGGCCAGTGTCATATTGTAGTGCATTTATTTTTTTAATTTTTTTTATGTTTTTATGTCTTTATTTTATTTTGAGAGACAGAGACAGAGAGTGAGCAGGGGAGGGGCAGAGAGAGAGGAAATCACAGAATCTGAAGCAGGCTCCAGGCTCTGAGCTGTCAGCACAGAGCCCAATGTAGGGCTCGAACCCACGGACTATAAGATCATGACCTGAGCCAAAGTTGGATGCTTAACTGACTGAGCCACCCAGGCGCCCCTATTGTAGTGCATTTAATGTTTAGATTTTCAATCTAGATGTATGGCCTTTTCAAATATTTTGTGGCTAATTGGGTCTGTGAGAAAGACCTAAGAATAGCCCACCCACCCAGAGGGTACAGAACGTGGAAAAGAAGGGGAGGTATAGGGAAGGGTAATCTTTTTGCCCTGCTTTCCTACTTTCTGAAAGTAGCCTGCTGGGTGTGGGGGAAGGCAGAGAACAACTTGAATGCATTAGAAATGAATCTGCCTAGGGGCGCTTAGGTGGTTCAGTTGGTTATGCATCCGACTACATTGGCTCAGGTCACGATCCCACAGCTCATGAGTTTGAGGCCTGTGCTGGGCTCTGTGTTGACAGCTCAGAGCCTGGAGCCTGCTTCAGTTTTTGTGTCTCCCCCTCTGTCCCTCTCCCCTATTCACATTCTGCCTCTCTCTTTCAAAAATAAATATTTAAAAAGAAAAAAATGGAAAGAAAGAAATCCAGTTATTTTACCAGCAAAAATGGGTTTATTTGGGAACCGTAGAGAATTCCAATCCTGGACGAGCAGGCTACAGCAAAACCATAGGCAAGCCTTCAGAACAAAAGAAGGGAACACTCTTAGAGAGGAGGGCAGGGGGTGGGGGTGGGAGTGAGGGGGAGTTGAGAAGGCTGTTCCAACAAAAAAAGTCCATTGGAGTAAATGGAGTTTGAAGTGTAGTGGCTTCTCATTGGCTGGGTTACGGCAGTCTCTCATTGGCTGGGCTATTGCCAGGGGAGGGAGAAACGTTTTCTTCCTCCTGCCAGGGTAGTAAAGTAGCATCTAAAATACTATCAATTTGCAAGACTCCTCCCTTCCTGCCGGGTCTGCAGTAGAAAAGTGGGCCGGCATGAGAGCTCCCCCAGATGCCTCCTGATTCGATCCTAAATGACGTTTCCTTTAATTAGTTTTCCACATTTATCCCTTTCTTTGAGTGTATCAGTGATCAAGTGTTAGGTTGTCCGTATTTAGTGGTTTTCCCCTCCCCTGAGGTCCGGAGAGAACACTCAGACGTTTCTCATCTGAAGTCTGTATCTTCTTGGTTTGTTTGGTTTTTTTTTTTTTTACATTTTTATTTATTTTTGAGAGAGAGAGACAGAGACAGAGCACGAGTGGGACAGAGCCAGGGAGAGAGGGAGACACAGAATCTGAAGCAGGCATCAGGCTCTGAGCTGTCAGCACAGAGCCCAGCGCCAGGCTCAGACCCACAAACCGCGAGATCATGACCGGAGCCGAAGACATATGCTTAACTGACTGAGCCAGCCAGGTGCCCCTGAACTCTGTATCTTCTTAGGTCATAAGCATTGGAGATCTCAGAGCATTGAACCAGCATCATCTTACTGGGTACGTTGCTTTTTTAGAAAGTTTGATCAGGAACAAAGTACAAACTTTAAAATGATTATACAAAACAGAAGAAGTAACATAAAACCTCCAAATTGGATGATGGCTCTAAATGAGGACTCTGGGTCTGAAAGTGGCTAACTGAAATATCTATTGGCACTTACTCTGAGGTTTCCTGTGGAGGGAGGCTCTCCTGTGATGACAAATTTGGAGTCATATATGCCTCCTGGAAGTCTCTGCTTAAAGAGAAGCAGCACACTAAATACTGCCAAGAGCACACCGAAAGAATTGAACTGAGCACATTTGGAAATACACCGCACTGGTTTAACATGAAGTAATAGCTGATGAACTTTTTGCAAAATAACAAAACTGCAAAGACCATTTAAAACCAGTATTATCTAAAAGAACTATTTGGAACCAAATGTATCGTCGACAGATAATATAGCCTGTAAGGTTGTAAATTCAGAGACGATGAATTAGGATAAGGATCCAGAGTCAGGTAAGAAGGCAGATGAAAGAATGAGTTTTGTGAATTGTGAACCTTCTAGCCTTTCAGGGAAAGCAAGTGAAATAGTAATTTGTCCCAGGATCTTGATGAGGCTCTTTATGGAAGGTTTCCCCCTCTCACAGAGGCTTGGGAAATGCTGACAAGGACCTTGGCTTTCCACGAAAGAGAGGAACAACAGTGAGAAAAAGGCATACAGCCTGGTCCAGACATCTTAGGAAAGCTGTTTCATCAGATGTCATCTGCTTTATTTCCGGGAAAACTTGATAATTCTTTTTTTTTTATGTTTACATATTTATCTTGACAGAGAGAGTAAAGGCAGGGGAGGGGCAGAGAGAGAGAGAAACAGAGAGGGGGAATCCCAGGCAGGCTCCAAGCTCTGCACTGAACCCGATGCGGGGGCTTGAGCCCACAACCATGAGATCACGGCCTGAGCCAGAATCGAGAGTCAGATGCTTAAAGGACCAAGTCCATCAGGAGCCCCCCAGGAAATCTTTAATTTCAGGTCACCAGTTGGTGTGGGGGCCGAGCCAGGGTTTTAGTAGATGTGTCACTTAATCCAAGAGTCTGTTCCTGGAGGTTTGGAGGTACACGTGTTGCTTAGCAATTCCTGAAAAAGGCCTTTTAGCGAAGTTAAAGAGTCTTTCTGGAGATGTCTTTTCCAACAGACGACATCTTCAGGTTGCAAGATATGTTGCTTAAGATCATTGTCTCCTAGGAGTGCGCTGTGAAAATATTGCTGTACTGCAGCATGGTTATTTTTAATAGAAGCATTAGGCCTTCATAATATTGAAGTATGTCTCCTTTATGACTGTGGGTCAGAGGAGGCAGGGACCAAGTGTATTGAACACCCTGTAACTATGTCAGGAGGTTGAGTCTGTGATTTCCCAAGGGGTGGATGTGAGATTTGGGAGGACCCATTGCAGTGCTTTCTGCCAAGGTATTTGTTTGAAGGGTCCCCACGCATTGTGTCAGTTGAATGTTAGTAGTGCCATTAGTACGTTCAGCTCCCGCTGAGGATTGAGAATGGTACATGCAGTGAAAGGTGCACAACATTGAAAGGTGCACCACTCGTTAAAAGCACCTGACCCATCAAGTTGGCTTCCCAATCACTTTGAAGTTGGAGGGGGGTTCCCCAGGTAGGGATAATTTTTCTACAAGAATTTTAGCCACAGGAGAAGCATTGGCCTGATCTATAAAAGAAATCTTTGGTCCAGTGAGAAAACATACAATCTGTGACTAAAACATCTTTGTATCAGTGAGAAGCTGTATGAAATGAATTTGTGTGAATAGGTTTCCCTGGATTATACTTTGGACAGATGGGACAAGTGAGGTAGCCACTTTTTGCATGCTTATTAATACTTCCCCACCAGTATTGGTTCATGAATGCTACCATTTTGTTAGTAGACCAGGGGTTTAGTGCATATAAGTAGTGGGAATTTTAGAATTTCTGGTAGGGCCAGATTGTTATTTGATCCAAACTAGAGTTCTCTTTTTTTTTTTTTTAATTTTTTTAATGTTTTATTTACTTCTGAGAGAGAGCCTGAGCAGAGAAGGGTCAGAGAGAGAGGGAGACACAGAATCCGAGGCAGACTCCAGGCTCTGAGCTAGCTGTCAGCACAGAGCCTGACGCGGGCCTCAAACCCACGAACCGTGTGATCATGACCTGAGCTGAAGTCGGCTGCTCAACCGACTGAGCCACCCAGGCGTCCCCAGAGTTCTCTTTCTATCCAACCAACAATTAATAGATTTTCAATATTGTTTTTCCCTCTCTGAGACCAATCGTTGGGTATCTTGTGTCAGTTTTTCCAAATTAGCATTTGGACCCTTCACACCATGACAGAAGTTTGGCTAGTGTTTGCCCTGAGAGCAGCATTTTTGGTGGAAGTGTCAGTGGGTGGTTTTGTTTGTCCTCCACGGAGGTGAGTGTGGTACGCCCAAGAACCGTCTTAATGCAGCAGCCGGCAATAGTATGACATCTAATACATTTTGGACATGAGAGCCTTTTTAATTTATTTTTATTTTTTTTAATCTTTTTAAAGTTTATTTTGAAAGAGAGCGAGCGTGTGCAAGTGAGCGCACTTGAGTGGGGGGAGAAAGAGAGGGAAAGAGAGAATCCCAGGCAGGTTCCTTGCTGTCAGTGTAGAGCCTAATGAGGGGCTGGAACCCACACATCGTGAGATTGTGACCTGAGCTGAAATCAGGAGTTGGACACTTCACTGACAGAGCCACCCAGGTGCTGCAAGAGCCATTTTTAATCTTATGCCCATTGGAAGTAAGGACACCTCATTGTTTCCATAATGTTTCCAAGTCATGAGCTACCCCAAAGGCATATGGACTCTCGGTCTAAATGTTTGTGGTTTTACCCTTGGCTAAGGGACAAGTTTGAGTAAGGGCATATACA